TAAAAATAGAAAAATAGCTAGGTGGTGTGGTGGGCATCTGTGGTCCCAGCTACCGCGGAGGGTGAGGCCTGACGCCCTACGCTAACCTGTGCAACAGTTAGATTTTGTCTCAAAAACAAAATATCATACTTCAGTGTAAGTAGGTGCAAGCATCTGTCAACTTCATTTTGTCTACCACGTTTGCTACCTGAGTATTTTTGTTCTGAAATACATGTTATTTTATGCTAAAGTATTTCTCTCGTCCTTCTCCTTCATATAGCAGTTAATAATATTGAATTCCTATATTCTGCGTGTAGGCAGGTTGTGTTAGCTATTTTAGGGGTTCCCCCACACACCGGGGGCGAAAACCAAGCAGAAAAGCATAACTGACGTGCAGGGGGCGTTCCCGACCGAAGAGGCCCCGCCCACACCCAGGTCCCGCCCAGTTGCGCGCGAGCGCCTCCAGCCACACTCAACATGGCGCCGGCGCCGGCTTGCTGAGGCGCCTGCGCTGGTCTCAGGCGATGAGTTCCACACCAGTCATGGCGGCCACAGGGCAGTCTGTGAGCAGCGGGGCTCTGGAGACCTGCAGTCTGAATCGGATTTTGGAGGCGCTGAAGCTGCTGCTGAGCCCAGGAGGTGAGAGGACGCATCTCGGCGCTTGACTGGACTCGGGACGCTCAGGGCCGCCAGGCTTCCAGGGCTGCCCTGCCTCCCTTAGCGTGCGCGCCTCGGGCTCTCTCCGGGCCTTCTGCCCCGCTGCTGGGGGGGTTTGGGCATTGTCTGCCCAGCCTCATTTCATCCTTGAGGAAACCAAGGTTCAAGGAGGGCACGGGAAACGTTGAGCACTGATGTAGCCACTTTCTCTCGAGTGCTTGTCTGGTGGCAGGCACTGTGAAGTGCCTTGGGGTCACTATTTCATTCAGTCCTTCCTGCCGCGCTCTTGGCGTTGTGACTGTGGAAACCCCTTCCGAGGGTTAGGCGCCTGTCAGTGTATTATGTGAGGTCTCGACCGCTTGGGGGCGCAGGGTTTAATGTGGACCCTCGAGATTTGTTCAAAATGCCAAGGAGTCCAGAAATCAGAAGCAGTGACGTTTAAGCTAGTTTAGGGAGCGTGTTTAGGGATTTAGAATCTTAAGGGCCATCGGGAGTGGATGAGGCCACCACTCTCCTTTTAGAACAGAGGACACCCGAGGCTCACTGCAGAGAGTAAGGTAACCCGCCCCAAATCATGTGGTCAAGTTAGGGGCAGAACACCGGCCTAGGACCAAGATCTTCTGAACCCTCTCAGACTAAGGCCAGATAATTCAATATAGAGTCTCTGATGTTATCTGGAGCTTTGAGAAAGAACATAAGGAGTTCTATTTATAATTGGACTGTATGTTTTGGAGGAAGAGATCTGTAGGATTAGCAAGGTAAGGGGACATGAAAGGCCATGAGGTGATGTTCCCAGTCTCAAACTTGAGATATACCTCTAACTGCAAAAACTCCTCCAAACTTTACACCATACCAGTAGGAAATGAAAAGAAATTACAGTGAATGAACCAGGCAGCCGGTTTACACTTGTAATCCCAGCTAATCAAGAGGCTGAGGAAAGAGGATTGATTGCTTGAGCCGCGGACTTTGAGGTAGCTGTGAGCTATGATGACATCATGGCCCTCTAGCCTGGGCAACCGAATGAGATTCTGTCTCTAAATAAATAAATTAAATAAATAAATAAGTGACTGAAAGGAATAGATATCGTTTTTCATGGTGACAGCATTTTCCGAAGTGTGATATAGATGGTTTTAGATGGTACTAGAGAAACATTCCAAGATTGAAAAGTGTAGTATAGGCTCGGTGCTTGTAGCACAGTGGTTATGGCGCCGGCCACATGCACCGAGGGTAGCAGATTAGAGCCTGGCCCGGGCTAGCTAAACGACAATGGCAACTGCAACAAAAAAATAGCTGGGCATTGTGGTGAGCACCTGTAGTCCCAGCTACTTGGAATGCTGAGGCAAGAGAATCACTTAAGCCCAAGAGTTTGAGGTTGCTGTAAGCTGTGATGCCATGGTACTCTACCGTGGGCGACATAGTGAGATTATGTCTCCAAAAAAAAAAAAAAAAAATTGTAGTATAGTGTAGTGATCATGGGCCTAGGTTCTGGGGCCAGACTGCCCATTTTGAATCCAGGCTCTGCCACTTTGTAAGTTTATATGCCCTGGAGCAGATAAGTTAGCCATAGTCTTGGAAATGAAAATAATAATATTCCCTACCTTACAGGGTAGTTGTAAGAATTCATTTAATATACATAAAGCACTTAAAATAATGTATCTGCTATTACTAATTTAAATTTTTTAAATGATTTCGTTTAAATAAACAAATAACAGTACAGCTGGGACTCAGATAAATGACAAAAATCATGGCACTGGTCTGTGACTGAAATTTGGAAAACACTGTTTTAAGGCAACAATTCTCAGACTTCCTGATTTCAGGACTCTTTACCCTCTTAAAAATTGTTGAGGACCTCAAAGGTTTGTAGGTTACATGTATCAATATTTACTGTATTAGAAAGTGATTTTAAATTAAGCCTTTAAAGTACTTATTTGAAAATAATAAACCCTTTTGCATGTTGACATAATGACATTTTTAATGAAAAATAACTATATTTTATAAAATAAAGTGACTTTTGGGAAGAGTGGCATTGTTTTACATTTTTGCAAATCTCAGTTGGATTTTCACATCCAATTGTGGTTCCAATCGAAGTAGTCGAAGAAACCCTATGCTTACATAGATATGCAGTTGGAGAAGGGAGGAGAGTTCAGTCACCTTTTCAGATCATTGTGTATATTCTTTTATACCATACTAAAACTCACCAAGAGTCAATTTTCATAAAAGTTTGCTGAAATGTGGTATCTGAACTCATATCAATTAACTTTTCATACTCAGTACACATATAAGAATTTAAAAGGTAAATAATGACTTAGTATTATTTAAAAAATAATAATGTTATTATTTAAATAACAATTGTTAATTATTATTAAAACAATACTTTTATTTAAATAATAAAAATTTTAAAAATTGAAAATTTTCAATAAAAATTTTAAAAATTATTATTTTATTATTTAAATAATTAAAAAAATTGTTATTTTTGAAACAAAGTCTTGCTCTGTTGCCCCAGTTAGAGTGCAGTGGCATCATGATAGCTCACTCGGCAACCCCAAGCTCCTGGGCTCAAGTGATCCTTTTGCCTCAGCCTCCTGAGAAACTGGGACTACAAGCACCATCACACTTGGTTAATTTTATCTTACTTTACTCAGGCTGCTCTCAAATGATTTTCCCATCGCAGGCTCCCAAAGTGATAGGATTATAGGTGTGAGCTACCACGTCTGGCCCTGACTTTGTGTAATTGTGAAATAGTTTTGACCTTGCAGACCCCTGAGAGAATCTTAGGAACCCCCTGGCAACCTAGGTCCCTATAGTACTACACTTTGAGAGCTGCTGCTTTATTGCAATGAGACCATTTATTTTCAAGTAGATTTTATTTTCATCACCAGTAGAGGGCAGAGAAGACTACTTCGTTAAGGGAACTCTTAAAAAAACTTCACTGAGCTTTCAAGTCACTTTCTTTGTGCCCCATGTTTGGGTTCCAAGATGTTATAAAGTCCTAGGAAGTCATTTAGAGGTTGATTAGTCATTTTAATGGTTGGTAGCAACAAGCTATAAGAGCACTCATTTCCTTCTGAGGTATATAGAATTAGCCAAAGGAATCAGATATTCATGCTAGTGGGGCAGAAAATTGCCTTGGATCTTACTTTTATTGTTCCTTTTTAAATGTAGTTAATACTTGCTATAGTAAAGGCTAAAAAACCCCCATAAACCAAAGAAGAAAATTAAAATTACCTCAATCTTACTACTCAGAGATTATAACTACTAGCAAGCTAGAAAATATTATTTTTTCTTTTTAAAAAATTGGACTCGGCTTGGCGCCTGTGGGTCAAGTTGCTAAGGCGCCAGCCACATACACCCAAGGTGGCAGGTTTGAATCCAGCCCAGGCCTGCCAAACAACGATGGCTGCAACCAAAAAATATCCGGGCGTTGTGGCGAGTGCCTGTGGTCCCAGCTACTTGGGAGGCTGAGGCAGGAGACTCGGTTGAGCCCAGTAGTTGGAGGTTGTTGTGAGCTGTGATGCCACAGCACTCTACCCAGGGGGATAGCTTAAGGCTCTGTCTCAAAGAAAAAAAAATTGGATTCATATATATTGTTTTATAACCTTAAATTAACTTTTAGAGTAGAAATAATATATATTTAATGTAGAAAAAAAATTTAAGCAAAAAAAGAAAAACAACCTATAACCCAACCACCCAAAATCATCATATTTAATTATTTATTTATTTATTTTTTGAGACAGTTTCACCTATGACGCCCTTGGTAGAATGCTGTGGTGTCACAGCTCACAACAACCTCAAACTCTTGGGCTTAAGCTACCCTCTTGCCTCAGCATCCCAAGTAGATGGGACTACAAGCACCCGCCATAATGCTATTTTTTGTTACAGTTGTCATTATTGTTTAGCTGGCCTGGGCTGGGTTCAAACCCGCCAACCTTGGTGTATGTGGCTGGCACCATAACCACTGTGCTACCGGCGCTGAGCCAAATCTTGAGTTCTTACTGATATTCTTTCTTTCTTTCTTTCTTGAGACAGACTCTTACTATGTTGCCCTTGGTAGAGTGCCATAGCAACACAGTTCAGAGCAACCTCAAATTCTTGGGTTTAAGCAATCCTCTTGCCTCAACCTCCCAGGGACTACAGGTGCCTGCCACAACACCTGGCTGGTTTTTGTTGTTGTTGTTGTTATTGTAGTTGTCATTGTTGTTTGGCAGGCCTGGGCTGGATTCAAACCCGCCAGCTCTGGTGCATGTGGCTGGCTCCTTAGCCACTTGAGCTACACAGGTGCTGAGCCTGATATTCTCAATTCACATGAAATGTTTGGGGTATTTATATTTCATAAATTTTTTCATAATATTTCATTATGAAAATTTTGATGCTTACAGAAAAGCTAAAAAGATTTTACAGTGAATACTTGTTTGTATACCTGACCTTGATTTACAGTTAAAATTTTACCATAATTGAATGATCGTATATTTGTCTACCTATCTGTTCTTTGATTCTGTATTTTATATTTGTATTTATTTTATCTGAATGTTGGCTGCTAATGAAATTAATGTAATTATTTACTTATTATACATCTATTTGTATACTATATATAAATATATAACCACATTTGTACATGAAGAGAAGAGCAAGTAATATATTGTTTTGTATTCTTTCTCATTTTTGTGTATGAGGTAGCATGATAAATATACATTCTTCTGCATCTTTTTTTAACTTAATTTTTCTTAGAGATCACTACAGAGATACATAGAAATCATCCTCTTTTCCTTATATAGCTGCAGTTTATTCAACCAGTTCTGTATTCATACCATTAATATCATTGTTTACTCAAGCAGTTCTTTGCTAATGGATGTTTGGATTGTTTCAAGTCTTTGGCTGATACCAGAGGTACTTGCAGTGCATAATCTTGTAAAATATGTCATTTTGCATTTCTGCCTGTGTCTGTAGAAGATAGATTCCTACAAGTGGGATTGCCGGGCCAAAGAGAAATGCTTATGTAATTTTGTTAGATATTGCCAACTTTCTCTCCTAGTTCCTACCAACAATGTATGAGAGTGTGTGTTTCCCCATAGACTTGCCACAGAATGTGTTATAAAACTTTTGGATTTTAGCCATTTTGAGAGATGGGAAGTGATATTTCAGTATAGTTTTAATTTATTTTTATTATGAGTAAGATTGATCATATGTTCATGTTGAAGGGCCATTTGCATTTCTTTTTCTATAAACGGTTCGAATCTTTTGCTCATATAGTGTTTCATTGGTTTTGTTCACATTAGAATATAGTATGAGCATGTCATTTAATAGTGTTCAACATCATTTAATAGCTGCAAAATATTCCTTTATTCATTTGTTCAACAACAGTGTATTGAACAGCTTCTGTCTGTGAGGCCTTGTTCCAGGCAAAGAGGGTACAACAGTGAGGAAAACAAATCAATATCACTGTTCTCAAGAAGTTTTTATTCTAGTTGGTGGAATAACAATAAACAATAAACAAAATATTAATAAATACTTAACACCATACTGTATATTAGATATAAGTAGAGCATAATTTGTTTAACCAACTGTGTTATTAGATATTCTTTTCTAATTTTATGCAATTATATGCATAATGCAGTGTTGAAGTAATTATCGATTACATTTGTATTCCTTCTGATTTGTTTCTTACAAAGTATATTAACTTTAGTTTTGAGGTCTGTTGCATCTTGTATTTATTTATATTTTCAACATTTTTCTTTTTGTTTTATAAACAAATAGAAAAGTTGAAAGAGTCATATAGTGAACACCCTTAAATATAGCATTTATATTCTACAATTTACATTTAATATATTTGCTTTATCACATTTTTATCCATTTATCCATCAATTCCTCTTTTTAATTTACTTTTTTTTTTTTTTTGAAACAGAGCCTCACTCTGTTGCTCAGGCTTCAGTGCCATGGCCTCAGCCTAGCTCACAGCAACCTCATACTCTTGGGCTCAGGGGATCCTCCTGCCTCATCCTGAGTAGATGGGACTGCAGGTGCTGGCCACAACACCCAGCTAATTTTTTGTATTTTTGGTAGAGACAAGGTCTCGCTCTTGCTCAGGCTGGTCTCAAACTCCTGAGCTCAAGGAATCCTCCTGCCTCACCTCCCAGAGTGCTAGGATTACTGGCACTAGCCATTGCTCCTGGCTTTATTTACTTTTTGAAAAAATTTATTTACTTATTTTTGATGCATTCAAAATGAGTTACAGATATCAGTACACTTTACTCATTATAACATTAGCTAGAGTTCAACATTTATTTGGCTTTTTTTGTGGTTTGCTCATTTGTTAAGGTAAAATTTACATAGAATGAAATGCACAAATAATAAGTTTCCCATTTGGTGAGTTTTAAAAATATATATGCCTATGTAATTCAAACCTCTGTCAAGACATAGATCATTACTATCACCCTAGAAAGTTCCCTCCTGCTCTTTCTGAATCAGTCTTCATTTCTACTCTCCTAGAGGCAACTGGTCCTGGGTTTTTTACCCCATAGATTAGTTTTGCCTATTCCAGTCTTTGTTGTGAACATATGTATTGATTTTTCTTGGATAGGTATGTTGGAAAAGAATTGCTGGATTCCAGGGTAGGTGTGTATGTGGTATTATAAGAAACTGCCAGACCAACTGTGCTTTACTGACGCTATACTTCTGCCAGTAGTGTATGAGAGTTCCAGTTGATTCACATCATTTAGTGTTGTCAGTCTTTTTAAATTTTAGCCTTTCTGATGTGGGTGGGTATATAGCAGTAACTCATTGTGGTTTTAATGTAAATTTCCCTGATAATTAATGATAGATATTGAGCATCTTTTCTTATATAGTTAGTCATTTCAATATTTTCTTTTTT